TTTGTCAAAATTTCACCCTAACCCTAAAAACATAAGGGTGGTGATTTTACCTCCGGGTAAATATAGTTATTTTCTATTAAAAATTAAAGTTTTTATTTAAAAAATTTTTACTATAAAACTTTTTTAAAATTCTTTAAAATCTCGACTATAAAAAATTTTTTGCTTCCAATACAAGTTCAAATTTTTACACATAAATTATTAAAATTTTATTAATAAAAACTATAATCTATTGTATAAATTTTAATATCCTATTAAAAAATTAGACAATTTAAACTAAAATTTATAAAGTTTATCTAATAGATTATAACTAATTTTCACCCGTGGTGATATCACCTGGTATTATAAAATTTTTATTAAAATTAAATAACTTTAAGGTTAGGGGTTAGAGTTAGCTTTAGATTAAAGTAAGAGATATTTTTATATGTAAAATTTGACGTTAAAAACTTTTGCTTAGAAGTCGAAGCACAGTTTTCATAATAAAATTTTGAGTTATTGTTTTTTTTTTTTATTTCTTCGCTTTGTTTTGGTTACGCAAGATCTGGCGATCTAATTGGTTTTACATATAACTAGGTAATATCACCCCGGGTGCAAGTTAGCAATAGTCTATCTAATATTAAAGTAAAAAAAATTAGAATGCTACTCTTTGCTTATGCTCTAAACCAATATCCGAAAACTTGATTATAAAACACAACAATGACACAATGATTATTTGGAGTGATTTAAGTGATACTTAACGTTAATTCATTTAACATACAAATCTTTTGTTCTTGTAGCTCGCCAAATATAAACTTAGTATAATGATTAAATATTCAAACATCATTTATCAATTTGTTCTTTATCTATTTTGTTTTTGCTCATTTGTAGCATTTGATTTTATTAATTCTAAAGCTATTCCGCATCTTTTTGCATCTAGATAGATATCATTTTAATAAATATTAGATAATCATGTTGATGTTATTGTCCGGAGGACTTACATTTTTAGGTATAAGTGTATTACATAATTGGCACATATTAGAGATTTTAGCAAAATTTTGTCTCTGTTCAACCATGTGATCTACATTACATATCGATATTCATTGCTTCGAATTTACAACAGTTTCTGTTTTCCTAGTTTATAAAATTTATTATTTTTTATCATAAAATTAGTATACGTAGTATTTTTGTTTGTCTGTAATAAATTAGGATAGCTGCGCGACACAGTTACGCTAAAACCAAGAACATGATACAATTAGATGTTTTTTGAAGTATTAACTGTTTTTTACTTTTTAGACTTTTGTTATTTTTCAAATTTATGAATTTAATTAGTAATGAAAATATATAATAAATTCAAAATAATGAAATTACTCGTGCCAGATGATACTCGAACACCTAATAGGGTAAAAATTAAGGATATTCACGAGGTAGCTGTTACATGAATACATATTTTGAAAAAACTGTATACACCATTTAAGCTGCCTTATAGAAAATCGCAAGACCAACCTTCGTGTGTTTCTCAAATACCACAAAGAAAATCATCACATATTCCTAAACTTGCTTCCGCAGAAACTTCAGTACAATCAAGATCAGCTTTAAATGATGTTTCTAATCTTTTTTCACCTGTAACTTACCAAGACATTAAGGAGTTCAATGATAGTAATTCAAA